CTTTTTGATGGTGTACATTGTGACATCTCCCATAACTTAAAACATAAATTAACACATATTTTTTGCTTGAAAAATTATTTAAAACTCTAATAAAGGAGTTCTAATAAACTTTAATAGGGATATGCCCTACAGTAATAGTGATGTTTGTGTTTTTTTTTTTTTTTTTTTTTTTTGTATTTTATTATTATTAGTATTATTATCAAGTGTACAGAACTCTATTTAGAGTTTTATTTTTAAGAAAATATATCATTACTGTTTTTACCTTTGAGAGTTGCTAGCTTTGGTGCTCTAGAGCTATATACATTATCTACTATTCTTTTTCCCTAACAACGTTAGGGTAAATCTCTCTAGTGCTATCTACTGTTAATCTAGTCATTCAGTATAAGGACTAAACTTTGGTTGTGTTTGGTTTAATTTTAGAATTATAATTTAAATATAGAGTTATGATTTAAATATGAAATTATGAGTTGAATTTTTTGAGGAAAAAAATTGTTTGATTATGAGTTTTAAAAAGAGTTTTTAAATTTTGAAAAAAAATTTAACTTTTGAAAAGAGTTTTGAATTGTATTTTGAGTTTTGAGTTTTTGGATTTGGAGTTGTATTTTCAAATTTTTTAGATTTATTTTTTAAAATATTAAAAAATGTTTCAGAAATTTTTATTTTTTTATTTTAAATATATAATTTTTATTTATATATGTTTAAATATTTTATTTTATTTTGTAAATATTTAAATTTTTTAATTTTAATATTTTAAACTCAAAACATAATTTCACAATCAAATCGTAATCAAACACATAATTCAATACTCAATTCAAAAACTATTTTTAAAACTCATAATCAAATACATAACTTGAAACCTCACACTACTTTCAAAATCCACAATATATTTAAAATAAAAATAATAATTTTTAAATTTTTTTTAATATTTAAAAAAATACAGCACACAAATGTATGAAATATAAATAAATAAATAAATATTTACCCTAAAAAATAAAATAATTTTTTTTAAAATATTTTAAAAAAATAAACTCAAAAAAACTCAAAATACAACTCAAAACTCTTTTTAAAACTCATAATCAAACAAATTTTCTATTTTCAAAACTCAACTCATAACTCAAAACACAACTCCACACTTAAATCATAATTCTAAAAATAATTTTAAAAAACAAAATAAAAAATAATTTTTTTTGAATTTTTTTAAAATATAGTTTTAAAAAAGTTTGATTTTAAATTCTAAAAAGAAATTTAAATTGAGTTTTGAATTATATACTATGAATTTTGAAAAAAAAATTTTAATTAAATTTTAAATAATTTAAAATTGTTTGTTTAGTTATTAATTTTTTTAAAAAAATTAAATTTTTTTAATTAGAATCATAATTTCAGAAGGAAATCAAACGCAACGTTTCTTGTTGAATATCTCAACCTAGGTAGGGTCCACACAGGCCGACCAAAATTTTGGCCTAAAAATAGGGGCTTAAATTTAGTAAAATGATATATGCCTAATTTATTTATTTTTTTTATTTTTTTTAAAGATCAATTTAAAGGATCCCAAAATATTTTTTAAAAAATTAATAAATACATAAAAATACAAAATATGTACGGAATTCTTGTATTTTTTTTTTTTATATTTTTTGTATTTAGTGAATTTTTAAAAGGTTTCTTTCACAATTTTTTTACTTTTTAGGTATATTTATGTTAGGTATGTCTAAAAAGTAAAAACAATTGCTTAAAATATTAAAAAAATTCGATAAAAACAAAAAAATACAAAAAATAAGAAAGTAGAAGTTTTTGAAAAGAATTTTTGAAAAACTCTAACCAAGTATTTTAATTCATATATATAATATGATATATTCCAACTGTAGCGCACAAGGTACTATTAAAGAAAGCTCTCACTTTAGTTCACAATTTTTTCTTTTCATAATTTTTTTTTTTTTTTTTTACAATATATTAGGGATTCCCATTTTAAAAATTCACGCCTAAATCTCAGGACGAGCCTGAGTTCACAACAATGCCTCCACTAATATCAACCAGCTGCCTAGCACCTTGGTCTAAGATCTTCCCACATGACATTATTCAAAATTACGTTCCCAACACTATTCATTTGGTACTTTCTTTAATAAAGGTCTTGAATTTATATTTTCCATACACAAATTATTATAATTATTTAATATTTTACTGTAACAATCAATTCCTATACTTTAAGTTTCCAGTTGTGAAACCTAGTTTTAAAAACAAACAAAAATAATCACATGACAATTGTACGTGGTGGCCACTTGACTATTTAATATTAGTTTCTGTTAGCAGGTATTTTAATATTATAATATGTTATTAGTTTTTTTCATGTCTTATCCTTTCAAGTATTCTTAGTCCCCCATTCTTATCCATCCAAATCTTCCAAGATAAGGTTTGCCAAGACTTATCCATTCAAGTCTTCTCCTAGTCTTTTCAAGACTTATCTATTCCAAGTCTTCCTAGATAAGCTTTCAAGGTCTTGGTCAAATCTCTTGTTATCTTATTCACCAAGAACCTTACTTATTAAGTTTCCTTTCTATATATATTGAGCTTATCTCCTATATTGACATATACGAGAGAAGAAGTTTTGGTTGTGTTGTTATGTCTTGAGTGAGATTATCAGCAAATAAAAAGAGTGTGTGAGATTATCAGCAAATAAAAAGGGTGTGTGTGATAAAACTTTGGGTTCAACCAATTGTGCAGTATTGGTGAACCATACGACTTAATTGGGCTGTTGTATCCTGGAGGGACAAGTCAAGGTTTTTTCTGCTGCACTGGTGTGAGGCTTTGCCTAACCGCAGAGGGCTTGAATCTCCTTAAAGAGAGCGAATTTTCCGCGCCTCAGTCCTTTCAATAATTATTGTAACTTTTATTATTTGTATTTTCTAGTGTTTTATTTGTAATTATCACCAACAGTTTCTTAAAAGGAAAATGGTTTGTACCCCCGCTGGGGAGACCCCCAGGACCCCTAGTGGGAGCTGATTGGCCCATTTTTCTTTTCTTTTTTTGCTTTTAATGACCAACCCCACGTGTGTGTGAGGGTGGTGGGGGTGATAAAACAGTGGGGGTTTGAATCAAAGTTGTTCTTAAAAATAACTTATAATTGGATAGGAGAAAGCTGTCACAATTGAAAGTTGAAAATAAAAAATAAAAAAATTATAGAATTCATATAATTCATTTCGTATTATGAGAATTTCTATTGTATTGGTGTTCGTATTAATAATGCTAAGTTTTTGTCAAAATATGCTATTAGAATTTGTTACATAATCGATTTTCTAATAAAATGATTATTTATTTTATTGTGCCAAAAAAAAAAAAACTCTTGGCTGTGTTTTTTCAAAAACACTTTTTAGAAAATTTTACTTTTTTGTTTTTCGTATTTTTTTGTTTTTATTAATTTTTTTTAATATTTTAAGCAATTTTTTTTACTTTTTAGACACACTTAACATAAATATACTTAAAAAGTAAAAAAATTTGTAAAAAAAGCTTTTTAAAAATTCACTAGATATCAAAAATATAAAAAAAAATACGAGAATTCAGTAAATTTTTTATATTTTTATGTATTTATTAAAATTTTAAAATATTTTTTCACAATTTTTTTTCTTTTTAGATACATCTAAGTAAGGTGCATTTAAAAAAATAAAAAAAATATTTAAAATTTTAAAAATATTCACTAATAATAAAAAAATATGAAAACTAAAAAATTAAATTTTTAAAAAATTTAATTCAAAAAATTCAAACTAAACACTGCTTATAATTTACTGTGCATTTCGGCACGTGACTTCTTTGTGAATAAAGAGGTGAATCATTTTCTTCATAACAAGATCTGCACATCTTCAAATGTTCTGGTGTTATGTACTTAAATTCGAAAGAGACCAAAATACTTGCATTGGAAACACAGAAAAAACAGTATTGGATGGAGGGAATGATATATGTATATATATTTGAAGAAAAAAAAATCATTACTTATAATGCATTTTTCAATTATGCGAAAAAATAAAAAAATAAAAATCTGATGAAAATAGTACGCGAATTGCCTTGATGAATATTTTATCAGGAAAGAGTCTATGGTTCAAGAAGAATTTTTTTGAATATTTGGAAAGAAATATATTTGTGTTTTAGTATTTTTTATTTTCTTTAATTCAAAAATAGGAAAAATTAAAGTTGATATGAAAAGTTTGTTTGACAAATTCTGTTCATGAACCTTTTATGAAAACATCTCCTTTTTAGAAAACACTTTTCAATTGCTTTTAAAATTGTAAAAAATTCTTTTCAAAACGCATTAAAAAAAATAAATAAACATAGATTTTGAAGATAACACCAATGAGAGTGAGAGGAAAATTATATAATAATTTGAAGTATCACGTGATCATACTACATATTGCACCAATCATCATTTATTATGTCACTTCATATTTTTCAATCACCTAATATAAATAATCAATATTTTACCTTTTTCAGCAATCATACTACCATAAAATATCACGAGACCATATTCCAAAACTATCGAATAATCACCCTTGAGTGAGGTGGTGTACCTGATGAAGCTAGAAATTTGAAAACCTGATGAGCAACATGCCTTGATATATTTTTCGTGCCTTCAACTTGAGATCTTACTATATTCTCCACTTTTGGACAAAACAAAAAGAACTTTCAAAAGATAAGATAAACTGTACCATGTATTTCAGTAAATTTTACAATCAACAAAACAAATAAAGATAGTAAAGCATTCAACGATCTGTAGAGCATTGTTGCAACAAAATATATATCGACTCAAGGGAATGATAATTTGGAAAATGTTAAAAACAACCCTTAGGACTGTTGTTATTGTTGAAAAAACTGCGTAAAAATTTATTGAAATGTATGAAAATATTTTAGTATATGTGAAAAATGTAATGATTTTATAAATATTTTAGAATTTAATATTTCTTATCAGGACTATCATTAGCAAATATATTTGATGATACTTTTGTCATTGGAGGCTCCAAATGAAACGGGTTGGAATGATCCACGCTTCCCAAGCCGTTGTCCGAGAGTTGAACCCACAGAGAATACCTGCAAAAGAGTTCAACGGGGAACAGGGAGTCCCCCAGCGAACCCTCCAACGAGCAAGTTAGTGAGGTGAGGGAGATAAAGATGTAGGAAGAGGATGGAGATGGATAACTTAACATTCTCTTTGTCTTAGAAACCTGCTTATATCCTTTGCTCATCATTTCCTCGCCTGCCCCGACCTGTCACATTAGCCGAAAGTCTACGTTTTAGCTCGCCTTGTTCATGGTGAAGCCGTTCTGCCCCGACGTGAATGGGTTATCACATTAAATGCCGAAGTGAAACTCATTAATGGTTGATGTGTAGTGTAATAACTTTGCAGGATCTTTGTCTGCTTATGCGGCTGATTCTTCCCTTGACGGGTGTTCTGATGCCATTGGTCCTAGATGTAACGTTGGGCCCCAGCAATGTTGAGCTTTAGTGTTTGAATTATGTATTGGACCCTAAGTGGTGGGTCAATAGTCCTTGTAGGCCCACCTACATCAATATTAATTAAGCCAAAGTGACTAAAGTAAGAAGTTTTGTGAGAGCTCCAACATTTCCAACAAAATTTTTGAATTACAATTTGTAATTTGCATACAAAATCCTAACCATCTATATTATCTTAGATAAAAACAGGTTATTAATTTTTATTTTAAATTTTTTACATCCCATGCATAGCACGGGTTCACTGCTATATATAGTTGGGTACAATAGAGTAATGTTATACATATATCAGTAATGTTATATCCACCGAATTCGAGCTCGTTCGAATTATGCGAATTTGTGCATGCCAGTTGACACACCGGTCATCTGGGAGGTCGTCCGGCCAATTATCCAGACGAATGTCTGTTTAACACGCCGGATGACAAGGGTGATAGTTACGGTTGATAAGGATGACAATCACGATTAACAAATGTGACGCTGGTCATCCGGACGATCATCCGACTTATGTAATTCGAGTAATTATAGTGAGCTCAAATTCAGTACATCAATAATTTTTCTATATATATATATATAATATAAGAAAATTATCAAACACAACTTAATAACCAGAAAGTGTCAAGAATTGAATCTGTGGTGTATATTTAAAGTGTTTATTGTGAAGTCATCTCATAAATGAATCTAGGTTATTGTTGTAAATTCCAAATATTTTTCTGATTATGTTTTCTAGGTAAGTAAACCGACTGTGATATAAGACTCGGATTAATATGTCATGAGGAACGGGTGATTGGCGGGGGTGTAATTTTGGCCGGGTTTATCTAGACCTAGGCTACGAGTCAATCTGCCTTTGGACTTTACAAGTTTCCACCAAAAATCAGGTTGAACCAGACTAGATCAGCTCACTCATGCGAAATGTTAGCATAAGCCCTAGAAAAATTTGAGCCTTGAGCCTGGGTCGGGCCTGACAATTTTTTTTTATTTTTTCATCAAAATAGCTTAAAAATAACTCGGGGCTTTGAGCGGGCCAGGCCTCAGGTGGGGTTCAAAGTGGGCTTGGATCGCACCTCAAGCTTGGCCAAATGGGTCGAGCTCATGAGTAGAGTAAAAAAACACACAGCTCAAACCCAGGTCTGAGGGTTCAAGCTTGGGTCTGGCCGAGTCGCAGACGGTTTCGGATGAGCTTCGGGCTGACATGCCATTTTTATATCCTTGGTGATTGGTATGTAGTAACCAGGCCACATGAGAATCAGCCATGTATAACTGTGCCACCACCCTTGAGCTGTTAAAGAAAATGATTTAGCCTCCGTTTGGAAAGTGAGTTGGCTTTTTAACTTTTTAGCTATTTTAGCCTGGGGTTAAAAAGCCTAGTTTGGGAAGGGCTTTTTGGCTTTATGACTTTTTTTACTTTTTTTGTGAGAGAGGAGTGTAATGATTATGAGTTGGATTTGATGTTTTGTTTTTTGTGGCTAAAAAGCCTATTTTATTTTTTGTGGCTATTTTAGCCCCTAACCCACCAAAACCAACTTCCCAAACTATGCCTTACAAATAAAAAATTTGTATAAAAAATCCATACAAAATGATATAACAATGGCATGTTTCAAATTTCTACAATGGTAAACAATTTATATAAACATAAATAAAAATTAAAAAAAAAAAACATATTCTATGAGATTAGTACAACTTATATAATAAAATAGTAAAAATTACCATCAACAAAAAAGTAGAGGTGCAATTTGGACGGACTCAATCTGACTTAATCTGAATTTTTTTAGTGTTTGGATAAGATATTTTTTAATTCAGTACGGATTTAGATAAAAATTCATAAATCTGAATTAAATTTGGGTGCGTTTGGCAAATTTGCATATATAGATATATATATATATATATATTATTAGTCATTACATGATATTTAAAGTAATTTAAATTATTAAATCATGTTGAATATGTATTATAAACACAAAATTTTATATTTTTTATTTGTACTCATAAATTGTGAAGATTACCATAGTGACATCTCTTTTAAATTATATAAATTATTTGTTTTGATATTATTAAGATTTTCTTAAAAAAATATAAATTGAGTCTAATTTTAATAAATTAATAATTTAGCTGCAAAGAAAAAAAAATTAAATTCATATACAATTCAAACAATTCAGGTTTAACTCGAGTCAGACTTGAACAGATAACCTCAAGTTTCAATTTGGGCTTAGGCAGACTTAAACAAGTCTCAACACAAATTGAACCGAATTTGGACAATTTTTCAATCCGACCAAACCTGCACAATTACATTCCTACTAAAAAGTGTTTTTTACCGATTTGTGCAAAAAATTAATATAAATTACCCTCTCCTAAGAAGTGATGTTATAACTTATGAGAGATGAAGTTTCAACTAGAGCAAATGGACGGGAGTTAAAAACTCTTGATAGTTTATTTATTGGGTAAATTATATTGTCTCCTCAAAGTTTCACTTATTTTTACTTTTGGGCTTTGAAGTTTATTTTTTTAATTTTGACCCTCAAGGTTTACGATCTTCCTACTTTATCCCTTTATGTTTGCAATCCTCCCCATTTTGATCCTTTAAATTTGATTTTTTCATTTTGGCCCTTCATGTTTGTAGTCTTTCCCACTTTACTCCTAGACTAACTTACATCTAAAAAACTAACATAATTTTTTACTTCAGAAACACATCAGCTTCATATGTGATGTAAAAAATTCACTAAAAATGCAAAAAATAAAATATAACGAACAAAAAAATTGAAATTTTTTTTACTCTTCAGTGAACTTTTTTTTAAAAAAATTTATTCATAAAGATTATTACATTATATATGCATTTAACTAAAAAAAATAAAAAGAAATTCAACTATAAAAAAATATACTAAAGACGAAAAAATTAATAGTAAACTTTTCATTTTAGAATTGACAATACATTTGAGTCACTATATTTTCATTTTTTTTTTGTCTTTTGTAAACCTTTTTTTTTTTTTTGGTGTTAAATTTGTTTTTATTTTTTTAGCTGCACCTAATCTAGATGCCTCTATAATGTAATAATATTTATGAATTAATTTGAAAAAAAAAATTCACAAAAGACTAAAAAAAAAATTCAATTTTTTTGTTTTATATTTTTTTTTCTTAAATTTGTTTTTATTTTTTTAGCTGCATCTAATCTGGATGCATTTATAATGTAATAATGTTTATAAATGTGGGGATATATTTTCTGAGTACCAACACGTGGCAAGGTGACGCTGACGTGTCAGCCGAGGTGCCACGTGTCTTGGTCGTTGTGCCGAAGTCATCTCGGCTAGGCCGAGGTTGCCTCCGAAGATATCAGAATCCGAGATAAGCGGATAAGGGACAAGAGTCCTAGAATGAAGAGGGAACTCAACTTGGATATGGACAAGAGTCCTAGATTGGGAGAAGACTTCAGTTTGGGTAAAGATAAGACTCTTAGAGAGTTTATCCTAATCCCACTGGGAGTCCCAGATTAGCAGTAATCCTAAGTAATAATTTAACAGCTCTTATACTCTTATGTTAATCAATCATTTTAACACTAATTAGATATGTTAGGTCCCTTAGTCTTGTCAATTTCGCGAACAAACTTGCGGTCCGCCATGACCCCATAAACTGTCTTCTACATCGGTCCGACATGACCCCATAAACTGTCTTCTACATCGGTCCGACATGACCCCATAAACTGTCTTCTACATCGGTCTGACACCGCCATCCAGTGTCCTCTACAACGTTATGACACCCCCATACAGTGTCCTCTACAACGTTATGACACCACCATCCAGTGTCTTCACCAATGGTCTGACACGACCATACAGTGTCTCCTATCCTCTTTTATTTTTATGTATTTTCTTGTTTTGTTACTCTCTCCAAACTCAAGTTGGTTAGTTCCTATCCCCCTTGAGTTTGCGGGGGCTGTTAAAATTCACCTACTACACACCTACCACTACCACCTACTACACACTTCACCTACTCCACCTACTACTCCACCTACTACATACATACCTTCTTTAATCTTCTATATATAGGACTCATTGTAAACACAACATACATCAATCAATAATATCATTCATCAATACATATTTCATTCTCTCTATTTTTTCCATACATCAAATTTAACAATAAAGAAAGTTGTTATATATGATCGAATAAAATTCACTTTTTAATTATTGAATAAATCCATACAAGATTCAGGAGTAAGTGTAAAATTTTATATATAAAAATAATGACGCCCTCTCACTATTTTTATTAGGACTAAATAAAGAATTCATAAAATTCGTAATTTGATCTGATCCAGTTTAATTCGGTAGGTTTGAATTAATTTTTTTAATCCATAGTTCGATTCCTGATTGAAAGATTAAAAATCCGTAATCCACAAATTGGTTCCAGATTAAACCCCATGGCTCCGGATTAGAACCGATCTGAACCGTATACAAATAATCTATATTTATATTTTACACCCTCCCACATAATATTTTCTCTTATTCCATATAAAACCTAAACCTAAACCTGCATAGTATATTCTTTTATTGCCTTTGTTTATTGGTTTTTAGTTTTAATTTGCAATGGACTAAATATTTATAGCGGAACAAGTTTTTTTATGGTTGTTTAAATTCTAAAACAGTATGTCGTTATTATGGAAAGACATGTTCCTATTGTGGTACTAATATGATGTTATATTTATATTTTTATGAAATTAAAATATTATATTTTTTTTTGTTATTTAATTATGTAAATTTGTAGTCCTAAACCGATCAAATCCGTGTTTAAATGGATTAATTCGGATTGGTTCCACGATTTAAACAGATTGAATTGATTCTAATTTTTTAAGAACCATAAATAACAAATTAATCTTAATTTTACCCTAATTCAGATCAATTCGAACTATAATCACCCCTAATTTTTATATGTTGACAAATATCACTTTGCAATCAGGGAAGGTTATTATTATTATTTTTTTACAAGTCCCAAAAGTTTTTTTTTTTTAACTGAGAGATTGAATTGAAATTTTAAAAATCTGCATCAAACTTTCTAATACCTGACTTCGGAAATTCTATCTGAACTCAAAATATATCTCAATGTGCTCGATTTAAATTCATAAATTTTAATTTTTATTATGTTTTAATGTGAATTTATTAATAAGGACAATACATATTAGGGTGATTCTACTTACACTACTATTTAATCTCTTTACACCTTCCATCTCCTTACACCACTAAAAAAATGTAATTCTCGTTATACCCCCAATATTTACCAAAACTAATCATAAATTAACTATTTCATCTTTTTACACCACTAATTTTGACAACACGGTACTAAAAAATTTACATTATTTCGGTATTATACTATCGAAAAAAATAGATCTCTCCAGTATTTTGTTGTTATACATTTACAGAGACACTTTCTCCCAAATAATGATTTTTTAATTTGTGGTGGGCCTGTTCAGTAATACAACTCTAATTAGTATGAATTACTCCTGTGTCATATTACCGAATAATATTTTTTTTCCCAGCATTATGTTGCCGTCCAATTAGATGATAACGAGAAATTAATTTGGGTCACTTGTGAAGTGAATGTTCAGTGATACATTGTTATACAAATGGAATTATTCTAGTGTCATGTTACCAAACTACAGTATAGTTATCTAGGCCCCGTCGCTATACATTGAAAGATTTATTTTTTCCTTGAAGCATTCATAAAAAAAAAATCATAAATCAAGCACGCATCCATAAAATCATACATAAAAAGTATCCATAAAATTATTTATAAAAACATCAAGTGTACGAATATCCATAAAGTATCTATAAAAGGTGTCATTGTTTGCATCCATCAATCAAACATGTTATCACAATTCGTCTTGATAATTTGTAGGTAATTTTTCTCCCTTAATAGAAATAGACATCCACACTTTTTAGAACCTGTCAACCTCAATCATTCCCCCTTAATCTTCTTGTTGTCTTTATAGTAACCACTGCTTTTACAAGCAAGTGTAAGTCTTGATTTTCTGTCATTGTCTCCCGCATCTGATGTCTTTATAACAGTGACAAATCCAGTTTTCTTTCCAACGTCAGAAGCCCATTTATTAATGCTTCACGACTACTAAAAATCTAAAGATAATAAATACGTTTACACGTCAAATTATTAATAAAACTAAATACAAATTAAAAATAAGAAAAAAATCATATTAAAAAAAAAAAACTTAACAAACCTCGTCTATAATGAATTCATAACTAGAGTCCACTAATATTGTAATACTTGCATTATTGCAATGAGTATAAGTATAATCCTTCCAAGCAAAAAAATAAAAAATATAAAAAAATAAAACTGAAAACACGTGGTAATGAGAAGCCGAACAAATTTTAAAAATTTGGTTTGGGATTATCGAAAATGTATCTTTTATTTAATAGTTGATTACTAGACTTATATTTTTTGCTCAGCAATGTGATGTCTGACTATTTTATTTTGTTTGATTTCAAATCACTGAACAAAAAAAAAAACGAAACAAAAACCTACCAAATAAATAAAAAAAAAAAACTCACCATTTCACTTTTTTGATGGTTCTTCACTACCATTTCTTCATCCATTGCTTTCTTTAATGATCAAAATACTATGATTCTCATTTTTTGAAAAGAGAAGCGTAAGAGAAACGAAAAATTAAGAAAGGAAAAAGAGGAGTAGAGATTGAAGACGAAGAGTTGTAAGAAGATAATAAAATATATTTACTTTTAGTGTTTTGTCTTTAAGGTAATTTCACACATTGATAAAATTGGGGGGAGGGGGGGAAACTCATATGAAGAGTGCAAAGAGATAAAGTAGTGGTGTAAGTAGAATCACCCTACATATTAATCTTAAATATAATTTTTTTTCCATAGTACCCCTAATCAATTATTCCTATTCAAATTTCTGTATCTTCTTCTTTAAGAGATCAAAATTATTTTTTTTTCTTCTTCCTCCCTCCAAAACTCCAATCCATCCTACCAAAACTCACCATTATATGCACATACACTTAAAATGTATAATATTTGTAAAAAAAAAATATAGAAAAAAATTTCCATAAAAGATGAAAGCCAAACAAGATATATAGCAAAGCGTGTCTCATTCAAGCATTTTGTCAAACACATAGTAATGAACAAATTGGAATAGCAAAACAACATGAGAAGAAAGAGATACAAAAAAGCAGAGCTAAGGAAATATGTTATGCAAAGTATACAAGTAATCAGTCATTCAAAGCAATTATATATATTTTTTTAAGTTTTAATTTATAGAATCAAACTGTATTGCTTCATGATTAGATGAGAATTTTGAGATATAAACAAAACTAAGCCTTTTTTTTTTTTTTAATTGGGTGCGTTTGCAATTCAAATTAGGCCTTCTATCAACACATAAGCTATTATTTATCTTAGAAAGAAAATTAAACAACAATAAGACAGAAAGGAAAACCCAAGACGTACGATGTCGTCGAGCTGGACACAGAGGGAATCGAAAGATCGACTAAAGTGAAGGACGAGAAGTTTGTTGATGGTGTCTCTAATTATGGAGTCTGCCATTAATTTTTTTTTAATTTGTTTATTATTTATTATTTGGATTTACCTTGAGAATAATTTGGAAAAAATAATAGGGTGCCATGAGAGTTATATAAAATTTTAAATAATTAAATAAGATGTCCCACTCCAAAAAAAATTGTTTTTTGCGACGGCAAAACGCCGTCACAAATAATCCCAACGCCGTCTCAAAAGCTATTTGCAACGGTATTTTTTCTTTTTGCGACGGCAAGTGGGGGTCGCCACAAGGGGGGTTGCAAAAGACCTTTAGCGACGGCACTTGCTGCCGTCGCCATTGTTTTTGCGACGGGAATATCTCTTTTTTGCGACGGCAAATTTCTGTCGCCGATTATGGATGAAGATCTGGGCTTTTTTGCGACGGCACAAGCTTCCGTCGCTAAAATAGATATTTGCGACGGCAAAATTCCGTCGCAAAAATGTCGGCGTTAATGACTATTGGCAACGGCAATTGCACCGTCGCTAAAGCCTTGTTTCTCAAATAAATTAGACACCTTATGCGACGGTAAGGCTGCCGTCGCAAAAAGCCTGGCAGGTTTTTTTTTTTTTTTTTTTGGCGGGGGGGGGGGGTTAGGTAGTTGAACTTCTAGTTCCATCAGATGATAAACTTCAAATTATGTGCAACCGAAAAGGACAAGAGAGAGAGAGAGAGAGAGAGAGAGAGAGAGAGAGAGTGCTATACATCTTTCGTTTCTTCTCTATTACTAATAATTTGGGCAACTAATCTTTTTCCCCTTTTCCCAAAATGCAGAGTTTGGCTCTCTACGGGGAAAAGTTAGATGAGATGTTTCAGTGATGATGATAGCAGTCAGGTATATGAATTTTGTTGATTTTCTTTTGCTTCTAATTCCCTTCTTCATACTTTCCTAGCCTCACAGCTTTTATCATTTTGCAATCTTACCTTTTGTTGCACTTCCAATCTGCATATGTATCTGTGTCATGTTCAAGGTAAAAAGTTATTATGCATCATAAGCACGTTCTCTAAAAAAAAATCAATTTTTTTGTTTTCTATTTATCATTTTTTTCATCTTTAGTAAATTTTTTACATCACATATAGAGTTGATGTGTTAGTGATGTAACAGATTCTATTAATTTTTTGGATGGAAGTTAGTTTATGAGTAAAGTGAGAAGGATTGCAAATATGAAGGGCCAAAATATGATAGATTACAAACATGAAAGGCCAAAGTAAAAAAAAAAATAAACTTAAAGGGTCAAAGTGAAAAATGGGTGAAACTTTAGAGAGTAAAGTGTAATTTATCCTTATTTCTTTATATGCAAATTACGACACTTCTTAGGTTTCTAACAATTGATTTAATTTAGGAATAATCCTCTTTAAATTATAATATTGCAGTAACTCTTTCAATTATAATATTGCAATAACACCCTTCATTTTGGATTTATATAATAGTATTAAGTTGCATCAGAATATGCGAAAAGAACCCTGATTGAAGTCATTGCCCTGATAAAGATTTCAATTTTACGTTTTCTTATTTTATAATAATTTCCAAATCACATAATATATATATATATATATATATATGGATTTGTTTAGAAAGTGGGTTACCTTTTTGACTTTTTTACTATTTTTTCTTAGGGTTAAAAGGCCTCATTTAGAAAGGACTTTTTTATTCTTTTTGACTTTTTATGAAAAAAAAAAATATAGTGATTATGAGTTAGATATGATATTTTATCTTATTAAATTAAAAAAATTATTTATTTTTTTTTTTAAACTTAAATAGCGTCAATCCTGCTTCCCAAACAAAGCCTATATATGTAAACATTCGAATAACATTTTGCCACGTCAACATAGGAATGATAAATGTTAAAATTCACCTACTACACACCTACCACTACCACCTACTACACATTCACCTACTACACACCTACCACTACCACCTACTACACACTTCACCTACTCCACCTACTACTCCACCTACTACATACATACCTTCTTTAATCTTCTATATATAGGACTCATTGTAAACACAACATACATCAATCAATAATATCATTCATCAATACATATTTCATTCGCTCTATTTTTTCCATACATCAAATTTAACATGGTATCAGAGCAGGTTTAGGACCTAGTATTTTCGCTTCACCGGCGGGCGACAACCTCACCTTAGCCGTCCGCCGGACCTCAACCTATTCCGTTTATTTTCTACACATACCTTCCCATCATTGCCCAAATACTCTCTCCCTTACACTTCGTCCTGACTCTAATTGTTAAAGACTGCGGCGATGCGGTGGCGTCTTTGCTGCCGGTTTAGTTGTTGAGGTGGGATTCGCTGCCGTCGGGCTCCCTACAGCTCCGCCACTGCCGCATTGCCTCCCAGCTATAGGACTGGAAGGCCTCCACCATTGCCTGGCTCATATGTACCAGGTGCTTATGGTCCCGTGCTTCTTTCTCCTGGAGTTGTTCCCATTTCGGGTTGGAGTCCTTACGCGGGACCTATAAGCCCAGTATTGTCTCCTAGTGCTCCACACTCTGTTGGAGCAGGTTCCCCATATGGTGTTACACAGTTACCTTCTTCAGCATCTGCATTTATGGGACCGTATCCTACCTTCCCCTCTCCTGCTGGACCTTCAAGCAGTACTCGGGAAAGAGGGTTTCCGGAGAGGCCTGGGCAACCTGATTGCCAATACTATTTGAAAACAGGAGATTGTAAATTTGGATCATCTTGTAGGTTTCATCATCCACCAGATTGGGTGGTATCAAAGACAAATTGTCTCCTCAGTCCCATGGGTCTCCCTATAGGTCCGGGGGTACAACCTTGTGCTTTCTATATGCAAAATGGACACTGCAAGTTTGGGAGCACATGCAGATTTGATCATCCAATACGAACAGTAAGATATAGTCCATCAGCTTCGTCGATCTCTCTCTCTTTAAGACCATGAAGTAAATCTTTAAGACCATGAAGTAAACAGTAGCAGCTCCTCTCCCAGTTGCTCAGTTCTATGGCAATCCCAGTGATGGATTTCTCGAAACTCAATGGCGAAGAGGGGGCCAAGCCAATGGCTCATATCGCTAATGGCTGCGAAGAAGATATTATATTCTCCAAGTGGTCTAACTTTTTATTTTTTATTACTATTATTATTATATCAAATAATCAATGCACTCCTGTTCCCCACTCCACTTTCTTTTCTTTTTTTATATTTATTTTAATCCATCTTTTTCAAAGCAATCGAAAGTTTGCACACCCATCATCATTTTATTTTATTTTAACCCCCTCATCCTATTTTGATCATCATCATTATGTCTCCACTACCCAACTTTCTTTATTTTATATCTATATATATATATATATATTATGTGGGGGGGGATGGGGGGGATTTGGACAATTAACCACAATTTGACATGTGACACCTCTCGTAACGAGCAACACCTCTTTTATTTGTCCATATTGGTCCTTTACTTTACAGCGTGCACATCCTCTCTCTACATCTTTCTGAGGAATTGGATTGTTCAATCCACCATCGGATCGGACCGTCTAATCCGGCTTATTGAGTCTATTTTTAAGTCCTGTTTGGATAATTTGAACTGTTTATACTTTAGGATTGTTGAGTATGTCGTTTTTACAAAAACAAAAAACAAAAAACAAAAAAAAAAAGTTGATCAGATAACGGAAATCACATGTTCAAATCAATTTTATATAGATGGTGAAAAACTAAACGGTTCATACAACTGTTCATACAAAATTGATCCAAACACATGATTTTTGTTATCTGATCGACGTAATTTTTTGCAAAGATGATATACTCTACGGAACCCTCTATACAAAATTGATTTGAACATGTGATTTTCGTTATCCAATCGACTTAATATTTTACAGCGGCTGGCTCTACCACATGAATGGCATAAAGCAAAAAATTAAAGGCAGACTATATTAGTTTTGTTTTGTTTCTACTTTTTCAACGCTAGGACACATATTGAAAAATATTTTTATTAGAGATGAAAAAATACAAGTTTAATGAAATAATTGGACCTATTTTTTACAAAAAAAATTTCTCAAGTTTAAATTTGATGCAAGATTGGTGAATGATTGGAGATATTCTAATCATATTCATTTATTATTTGATATTATCGTGTCGTGTTTATGTGTTATGTCAATCAATTTTATTTTTAATTAAAATGTCAAGTATATAAAAAAAAAAATTTAATTTTCCTTACACGCTATGCACGAGACTTTATAAATTAAAAAAAAAATCATTATGATTGTTTTGAAATAATTTAATATTTTGTCTTGTAGTATACATGAAATTTATAATTATTTTTAAGGGCACCATATCGAGAGGCGATGGAGTCTCGAGCACGGGTTAAAGCCTTTTAGTGTTGTGCCCTATCCACTGAACCCACCTCGGATACTATTACTAAAGACATTATTATTAAGACCTATTTTAAGAAATAAGTTAAAATTTAATTTTTTAATTTTTTTAAAAAAAAACATACAAAAAGAAATTAATTTTTAACAGTGTTGTCCAAAATTGACCTAAATATTTGTGACGGTAAAAGCTGATATTGTATTTGAATAGTTTCAATAAACTTTTGCGATATATGCTTTCACTCTGTCAAGCCCATAAGTTTAACACGGTGCTGCCACGTCACAATAATATCCTGCCATGTCAAAAAATACTATAAAGTAAAGTGGGCCATCATATTAAAGAGTCTTATCAATTTCACCCTATTTAAGTCCTCTCTCCCCAAACTATTGTTATCTCTGCGAACCCATTTACATCTCTCTCTCTTTCTCTCTCTCTCTCTCTCTCTCTCTCTCTCTCTCATGGCCAACCACCATTATCACCGGCCATCGACGGCATCCTCCTGTCCAACATTATAGCAATATTAATTTTGTTTCAATTAATTTCTACATAATGACTAAACCCATACCATTAGTAAATCTATCACAGCAATATAACCCATACCATCATCTTCAACCACCAATTATATTACCAACACTATCACTCATTGCCTCTGCAACTTCTAATTTTTCCATCTAAAATCTTCCTTTTCACTCAAAAATAAAAATTTCCAAAATGAACAAAAAAAATTTAATTTTTCTTTCGTTTTTCTACTTGCCCAAATTTTTTTTCTCTCTCTAATATTTTGTGTTATCGAAACCTCACTCTCCTTTTGGATTCATTTTTTATTATCTACAACTAGAGATACATATTCATATAAAATAATTCCATTTAGTAAGGAATAATAAAGAGGTCCAGTTTTAGAGAGTAGAGGATATGGGTAAGCGTTTAATTTATTGAGAATATTGGAGCTGACAGTGAGAGAAGAAAGAAAGAAAGGGAAAGAAGTTGGGGGTCTATAGAGAGAGAAATTGGGTTGGGTGAGACGGAGAAGGGAAGAGAGAGAGAGGGAGAGAAAGGAGGAGGATGAGGGAATTTGGGTTTAACAAGTTTTTAAAAGGATGTTATGGTTAAGTTATATGTATAGCCTCTTAAATTGGTTGTTCTACTAATTTATTAATTTTTTGATGCAAAAAATTGTTGGATGTCTGTAAAGCTTTACTTCACGGCTCAGCCTTATAAAACATGGAAAATGTTAAGAACTCAAACGCTTTATTAATATTTTTATCAAATATTTTATGCGAATAAAATATATAAAAACTTTAAAATTATTCATAAAACATATCTCCCGTAGGCCGATCAAAATCTTGAATCTGTCCATGCCTTTTTTCCAGACAACGCCTTTTGTTCTACATCTTAGACAGGAGGAAACCTCATCCAAAGCAGACAAGTCAACCCAAATAGATTAATAGAAACTAAAAACTGCTAAAATGTTTTAATTTCCAAATTCTGCACAAATCAAAGGTTGAAATTTAAGTAGATAAATTGATCGAAATGCAAATATAAGTTCAAAATATAGTACAAGCACTAACCAAACACACCAGATCGAGATATCCTAAATTAACATAAATTGATGAAGTTTACTATTTAAATTAACAAAAATCAAAGCAAAACACTATATTTGCTCCGATATCATTACACAATTTTTCCACACTGAATACAATTATATCCGACAGAATGACACCATTTGAAATATCCAACATTATAGTCGATGCAATCTTTGAACGCGTTCATAAGAATCTTGAAATATCATAGAAGTTAGAATACAAATGTGATCAATATATATAAAAGCGGATTTATACTTTCAATTGAATATTAATAATAGGAATTGAATATATACAAGCATAAATAAGGACTAAAAAAACTAATGAACCCAGAATAAGTGGAGGTATTCAAATTTAAAAAAAAAATGAAAAGGGATTTATTTGTCTTCTTACTTAGCACGACCACAAGTAGCACAAAGAAGACAATCATAGACCAAACTCTAGGATTGTAATTCTGGCGTCGCACAAAAAGGTGTTCGATAATTTCAGACCCCAATGCTCTCACAGCTGGTTTCAAAATGTACTTAATGAAAACTTCCTTCGCAGAACTGGCTTTAGCTTCCAAGTTGAATGGGGAGAATACTTGGGCCTATATATAGACGAATTACTAGAAGTTGTTGAACGGGAAGAATACACTAGCCTGTATATAGACGAATTACTACTTTATTACTACTTTCCCATTTGATTGTGTTTTTCCAGTGGCCACTATATAGATGAATTAGTAGAAGTTGTTGAAGGGGGAGAATACACTAGCCTATATATTGACGAATTACTACTTTCCCATTTGATTTTGTTTTTTCAGGTTTACTACTTTCCACACTTAATACAATTTTATCCGACAGAATGACACCATTTAAAAAATCCAACATTATAGTCGATAGAATCATTGAACGTGTTCATAAGAATCCTGAAATATCATAGAAGTTAGAATACGAATGTCATTAATATATATAAAAGAAGATTAATACTTTCAATTGAATATTAACAATAAGAATTGAATATATACAAGCATAAATAAGGACTAAAAAAACTAATGAACCCAGAATAAGTGGAGGTATTCAAATTTTTTAAAAAAAATGAAATGGGATTTATTTATTTTCTTACTTAGCACGACCACAAGTAGCACAAAGAAGACCATCATAGACCAAACTCTAGGATTGAAATTCTGGCATTGCCCAAAGAGGTGCTCGATAATTTCAGACCCCAATGCTCTCACAGCTGGTTTCACAATGTACTTAATGAAAACTTCCTTCGCGGAATTGGCTTGAGCTTCCAAGTTGAAGGGGAAGAATACTCGGGCCTATATATAGACGAATTACTAGAAGTTGTTGAACGGGGAGAATACACTGGCCTATATATAAACGAATTACTACATTATTACTACTTTCCCATTTGATTATGTTTTTCTAGTGGCCACTATATAGACGAATTAGTAGAAGTTGTTGAAGGAAGAGAATTCACTAGCCTATATATTGACGAATTACTACTTTCCCATTTGATTTTGTTTTTCCAGTGTTGCTACCTTCCCTTTTACTACTTTCCCATTTGATTTTGTTTTCTTGTTGATTTTGTTTTTTCAGGTTTACTACTTTCACAGTGTTACTACTTTTCTGTAACGCCTGCCTCTCTACTTAGCAGTTCATTATGTGGTTTACCCTAATTATGTGTCTATATGTGCATTCTATGTTTATCTATGTGTGAAGTGTGTACTATGTGTTCTGTGCATTCTACTCTCCTCGACAGATATGTTAATTTAAGAAAAAGACCTGTCTGATTCGTTAAATTGTAAGGCTACAAATTAATTAATGGACTAGGTGGTTGGAGCCTAATTCACCTTAATTAGACAAAGTGGAGTTAAGGTAACCTGGGTTATAGTAAGAAAATTAATTGAAGTGATTGTAGTTTGGTTTAGCTTAAGTCAAAGTAACTTAGATATTTTATATATAGATATTTGAATTCAAGTGAAGAGAGAGAGAGAGAGAGAGAGAGAGAGAGAGAGAGAGAGAGAGAGATAACCTAAGGGAGAGAAAGAAAATTCTAGAGTTTTAGAAAAGAAGGAGAAGAGGAAGAGAAGAGGGTTAAAGTCAATCTTCCACAATTCCATAAGCTAAGGTAAGAACTCTTGTCTTAACCTTGGGAATTAACATATGAGATGGAAGAATTTGCATTGGTTTAAGAATTAGGGTAGTGTATGTGGTGTCAAGAAACCTAAATTCAAGACTTCATGTTTGTATATGGCATGCATAGCATTAATCATGTTCAATTCCTTTCTTTTGCATAATCTTGGCTAGTTGGAGGAATTTGAGTTGGGAAAGTTACACTCAAAGTTTTGATCTTTCTTTTCCAATACCAATGAGTTTGTTTGAACTTATGATGTTGGGCGTGAACTTAGA